ACAGCCAGATGGAGCCGCTCCTCGACCTCCTCTACGTGCTTCCGCCGATCCTTTTCGGACATGCGTCGTTTCTACAATCACCGTTTTCATTATCGCTGCGGCCAAACGCATCCATTTTCGAATCGGTTCCAACCCCTTTTTTTTCCCCCAACGAAACGAAAAGAAAAAGATGATTGTCCTCGCGATATCGTACATCTAGCAAAGTTAATCAATTTAGATTTTAGAGATATCGCGGTGGAAAAAGATTCTCTATTTTCTTTTTCTTCCTATATTTTGAAAGATCGAAGATATAAAATTGATGCAGTTAATAATATCGTCGCCGCGTGTGAAGAAGATTCTCACGGCCGTCCCAATTTCCCAACCCCTTTCGTTCAAATATTTATCGCTCTTAAACGAACGAATTATATTTTTATTTAACAAACGATAATTATTATTTCTCTCTCTTACCGGATCTAATAACATTCCGTGCGACTAATAACGGTGTTCCACGGTGTTTGTTCAGAATTTACGATCGTAAATAACGCTTGTATAAAACGGTAATCGTCGCAAGTGAAAAGTATCCATAAAATTTCTAGCGCAAACACTGGAGAGCCGGGTAACAACCGCATTCGCATCTCTCGAGGCATCCCCCTCTGTGCGTTTAATACGAAATAAATGCATACCCGATCTGTAACGCATCGTTACAGATGCATACGTGTATCCATCATCCCTCTACCGTTATCCGTGCGAAATCACGAAGCACGGCCGTAAATCGGTGATCGAGAACCGCCACGATGTATAAAATACCATAAATTAGACAGAAAATTAATTAATTGATCCCTCGCTGGAACCGCATCTCGCGGAATAATAACCGACCTGATGAATTTCCTACGCCCACAACGCGACCCGGATCGATCGATCGAGACACGCGGTGCTCTGACTTTTACCCTGACTTTTATCCATCCGATAATTTATTACACGGAACGCCTGTTGCACGCTGCGCTCTTTAAATACGTTCGAACTTACGAATAGAGAGAGAGAGAGAGAGAGAGAGACGTTGTTTTGCCCGGTGAAGGGGAAATTCGCTCGTAACGCTGCTTTTCTGCGCTACGCCCACGCGAATTCCTAGATCCACCGCTACGCTCGCCTGGAGATCCACTTGGATCTTTTTCCCGTCGTGGATACTTTCCTTGGATGAGATGGGACGAAAGAGAATGTAAATGAAAGTAAAAGAAGGTGTAACGTCCAAGATGGGCACGTTATTTATTTGGTGAAAATTAATTACGCTCCGGGTATAATATTTTATACTCTTTCATGCTTCGAAGTTTCTAATTATACGAGATTACGAGAGATACGAGCAATTGAGTGTTACGATTGTAATGTTAATTAATTCTCTATATCAAGATTGTACCCGATCTTGGAATTCTTTTTAGACTTATCGAAAGGTTTAATTAATTTAAAATGATACGAGAGTAAGATTAATGTGAAAAAGAAATAAATCCGTTTCCTTGGGTGGAAACAATGGATTGGAGAAAATGGAAATTTCAATTTTGAAAGTCATACATCGTGTGTACATCTAATTACAATCCTACGAACGAAGAGGGACAATAAATAGCAAATAGAATCCTTCTATTCCCCTCAAAGAATCAATCTAGAGAAATTTGTTCCACTTTGTCGCTATTTATTTTCCCATTTTTCCCTCTCTTTATCCTTAAAAGAAAGGATAAAAACGGAGGGAGAGGAAGGGACACGACTCGATCGAACGCCACGAATAATAGAAATTTTGTCCGGGATCCCAACGCTGACTCATATCGATTAAGACGGTTGGACAACGTTGGAAGGAAGGCTCTGACGAAGAGCCGATGGACGACTCGAACGGATGGACGAATTAGAATATATATGTACGAGGTGCGAGGGAAAAAAAGAAAAGAAAAAAAAAGGCGAGCGAATGAAAGTCGCGGGCGTGGGAACGGCGGGCCCCAAGCGAGCCACCAATTAACACCAATTAACGCTCATCTGCTCTAGGTAGTGGCAGAGACGAGTGAACCGACTTTACATTTAGCACGAGACACTCGTGTTCACCCGTGATCGGCCACAACGCTGCCCTTTATGCCCGCGTCCAAGGATTTTTCGCCTCCACGTTGGGGAAAAAAATGGATTGGACGAGTTTCTCCTTGAAAATCGCCATCTTGAGAATCCGACCTAATCGTTTTTTTTCTTTTTTTCATTTATTTTGAATCGCAATATTGAAAAGGGATATTCGAAGATTTCCAACTTCTTTTCTTAATTACACTTCTCTTTTGTATAATACAATATATTTTAATCCAATTATGTTGTATTTAAATTAACAACAACACTACGCAAGTTGAAGATTAATCCACCCAAAGAATTAAATAACGATTCTCTGGATCCCTTAGGGGTTACAATTCGCTTCAATAATACGTGCTCTCAATTGACATTTGTCATATTAATGTTCAACAATGTTATCGAGACCATTGATTCCGAATCAATTTCAATTTTTCTATGTTTCTACTTTCGTTGCTTAAGCGTATCCAAAGAATAAGAAGAAGAAGAAGAAAAAAGCATCGAGGCGGAATTCTCATCAAAGGACTCGAGCGAAAATGGCGGGGAATCACCGCCATCGAACAGGTTTCAACGATCGTTTTCCTCCCAAATCGGTCGGCGTGGCAAAAAAACGCGCGGGGTTTCCAACGGTGGAAGTGTCGCGCCACTTTAGGAAGCGATTTGTCGCGCGAGAAAGGCGCGCGACATTAGCCGCGTTATCTAAGCATTTAGGCTGCCAGCGGGGGAGAATGTTTTCGCTAATTCGTCGATCAACAGTGCGGTCACGATCGAGCGGTTAGCCGAGCGTGTTGAACCGCCCGTTCAGAAAAGGAATCGATCGGCGAGGGGGGAACGACGTGGTTCCCACATGTATCGTGACGCTGGTAGGAACCCTTGGTCGCTACGCCGATCGAAGGTGGCAACGAAACGAAATTGGAAGCGTCTCGAGGAATAATTGAAAATGGGACAGGAAAAAGAAGATATCCCATTAAATTCGTATTTATACTTAAAAAGATTACCAATCGAGGTAACAACAGTCCCTACAATGTAATTATGTTATATATTTACTTGTTCCCCCGATCGAAAGCAACGAATCGGAAAGAAACAAGAAAGAAATTGGAAGCATCTCGAGGCGTAAGAAAGTTACCAATCGAGGTAACAAGAGTCCTTGCAATGTAATTATGTTATATATTTATTTGTTCCCCCGATCGAAAGCAACTAATCGGAAACAAGAAAGAAATTGGAAGCATCTCGAGGGGAATAAGAAGGCTACCAATCGAGTAAGTAACAAAAGTCCCTGGAATTATATCATACATATAGAGTCTAATTACATTATACGTATATATTTATATATATATAATAAAATGTAGGACTATACACGAGCGCAAAGGGTTAATTGTCAGTTCACAAGCCACCCCCGAATGGTTGACCGATCACGCGAAACACCTGCGATTCCAATTAAAAAATCGAAGCTGAACCTCGAACCAAGCTCGTCGTCCAACCTCCTCTCATTGTCTCTACCAACGAGATCCGACCGAGTTCATTAAACCGGGCGCGCACACACGAGCCGGGTACACGCGAGATCACCGATGCGCCTCGTTCGCCGCGATCTTTTTCTCTCTCTCTCTCTCTCTGTCTCTCTCTCTTTTCCACGGGACCGGTTCCATGGGGAACACTTCCAGCTTTCTATCGTACGTACCTTCTTGGACATACCCCTTTGGGATCCATCGCTTGGTTACCTTCGCTTCTGGTCTGCCGGCCCGAACAGATAGCCGCTGTCTTCCGCGACAGCGCGATTGGAATTTATTTATTGCATTAGCCGACCGTCACTCACGGGCCTTGATTGGTGGTGGCAATCGAGGTACGCGGCCGTGGACGGAGCAACGCGAGGGAGAGCACGCAAACTCTGGCTGTAATTATTCTGATTTGTGGCTGAGGAGAGGACGGGCGTCGAGGTGAAAAATGCGTCCCTTCCCAGAGGTAATTATCGGTGGTGGCTTGCTTGCCACCACTCTCGATAAAGCGTTTCCTCCCGATTCCGCCTTTTACTTCCCTTCTGGTCTGAATGGCGACTCTCGAGTGGGTCGTTTCCTACCTTTTTCGTCGGATTGGATCCTGATGCGATTCAATGTTTAATCCTTCTTGGATCGAAGCGTGTGATAGGACGCGAGTGAATCCACGAGGATTTAGAAATGATTCGTCGTTGATGAACATCAAAGATAAAAGGAAATTTGTAGAGTCTATGTACTTATTTACTTGTATATATATATATATAGGTTGTGACGTGGAAGAGGTCGATGTGGAAGTAGACGGGAAACGGAAGTGAAAAAATTGATAATCCCATTATGGGAGTAATACGGGAGGCAAAAGGTCGAGAGAGTCGTGTGTAAATTTGCAAAACTCCATCTTGAACGGTTCCACTGGTGGCCACGTCGGCCAAGGAATTATTCAAGCTGGGCAAGGGTTAATTGCCGCCTTCATCAAACCACCTCTCTTCCTCTTTCGAACCAGCCCTAGACAACATCGTGACATCATCTTTCCGTATTTTCGATTCGCGTTTGCCGGAACAAGAAGTGTTCTGCTCTCAGGAAATGTGTGCAAAATTACGTACGTCAATTGGTTCGAAACCGCACGACTCTTCCTATATAGATGAGATAAGAAAAATGGGGGAAAAATTGATATAAAAATTACGATTCTATCGTTCTTCGTTCGATCTATGCAATTGCTTTAGAGTACTCGAATAAAAATGAGAGCAAGGATCGTTTAATAGTCCACAAGTTGAGAACCAGCGAAGCAAAACCGATGAAAGAGCCGAGTTTAATTTTAATTTATAATAATTTATTTTTTTTTTTTAAGAATTATCGATATTTTTAAGGAGTCTGGGAAGATTCCCATACAGCGGCCACATAAGATTCCTATAAAATGGCTCGTTATACGGTATTTTTCTCGGTTCGCAGAGGCAATTCACGCTTATCCTGCAAGCGAGAGACGAGGCGAGCACAGGCGTGATCGAGGAAGCAAGTTTCAGCGGCATTGTCCTGCCAGGACCCACGTGGCACACTCTCAATCATGAAGGGAGAAACGCTCATCTAGCTTATCGCGTTCGGGTCCAGTGCGCGGATCATTATTACAACGCGACCTGCACGAAGTTCTGCAGGCCAAGGAACGACATATTCGGCCATTACACCTGCGACGAGAACGGCGACAAGGTGTGCATACAGGGTTGGAAAGGCGCCGACTGTGAGATAGGTAGGTTAACTTTCAACAATTTCAACTTTCCACTCTTTCGTTAACTTTACATGGATGGATAAAAAATTGTTTGCCATTCGATAAGAGAAAAGCATATATGAAATTTTTTTATCTGTATGTTGCACGTTGAAAAAGTATGACTACTGTGTATAAATATAAAACAAGTCAGTGAGAAACTAGATATTTTCAATGTGTCCACAATGTGAGATTCTGTATCGATCAAATATTGAGAATCGTAGTTTGTTAGGAACGTGTATTAAGAATTTAAAATTTTGTGCTCTTAAATACACGTGTACGTCTCGTAGGAAAAATTTTACTCGTGGTAATCACGAAAAAGTTCTCGTCCGGTTGTGTTCTTCTAAAAACAAGATTAAAATTTCTAATAGGAAAATTGTGTCTGATTTTCATATTAAAAGAATATTAGAAGAATATAATCTGATGAAAGAAGATGTGAAAATTTTTTAGAATTTGAATTATTCATCCGTTTTATATTTTGAGCATAAAAATCGTATATATAGAAAAATATAGTTCCTTGTTGCCCGTAAGTTAGACAAGGAAAGTAAATAAATAGAAAAATTTAGTACCGGTGGCGCCATCTCGCGTTTGGACGCTCGAAGCTCCAACTTGCTACTAGTATAGCAGAATGTGCAAGGAGGTATTCGTGACGTCACTCTCAGAGATAAGGACAGCAACATTGTGCGAGAAGGACAGAGAATACGTGCCACTATTTTTGGTTATGCGGCTCCTAATACTTCGCCACCGCTTCGAACCACGTGACATCGATAATTAATTAATAATTAATTTTTTATCGAAAATTTTTACACTTTTAAGCTTGCATCTTGCAGTTGTAATCTCAAAAAAATTTCTCGCTTTAATTTTAACATAGAATTCTTTTCAATTGATTATTTATTAACGATTAATCCGCCACGTATCGGATCATCGACGCCATTAATACGCAATACGAAATTTTCATCAATTTCTCGTCATTGCGGGATTTATTTCTGAATATTAACACGTGATTCTGAAACGTTACTTCCTCTCCCACTTTCGTACTACGTGTGTAATTTTTATCCATAAGATTTATTCGTTTCTTAATTCAATTTCGCTCGTTCGCGAAATAAATTCGTCGGCGATTTTGATGGTAATTTCTATCTCGAAGAAAATTTCTAAAAGGAAGATCGACAAGGATCTGGAACCACTTCCTTCGTAAAACGAAGGAGCGAGAAATTGGAAAAGGGAATCGAAAATGATTAAACGGATATATTTAACTTAACCCTCGTAAACTCCGATTCATCATTAAATCATCGTCGTCGTCACCGGAAGCATTAAGAGCCGAGACAAAGAACGCGTTCGACTTAATCGGGCGGAACGATACACGAATGACCGAAGGGGATGGATAAACGAAAAGAAACGCGTTACGCGATATATCCGTAAAAATTAGTAGTCACGGCAAAAAGCGTGAAACGGCGTGGTAACACGCTTTTGTCGTCGACGAGATCTCGTTACGTATGCAACGAAGCGTCGCGCAAGGCCTTTTGCCAGGATATCGCCGGTTAAACGATTCCATCGTGTTTTTCTTTTTTTTTTTTTTCTCGTTCCCTCGCTCCGCCAGCCGAGGGAATAATTAATCGATCTTCGAAGCGTGAAATCTCGCGTCGCAGGCAAGCCGCGCGATCCGCTTTTCTCACGAACCGTTGACTCCGCGTTTAATGAGCCGATCGATCGATCGATCGACTCGAATTTTCAACGGTGATACGTCTCGATACGATACGTTCTCGTTCTCTCTGCCGAGAAAAAGGGCGATATTCAATGCAAGATGATCGAGGCGAGAGATCGATGGACGGGAAATTTTGTTCCCCTTTAAATTGAACGAATTTTCTCCCGATTCAATCGTGTTTTCGATCGAATCAGAAAAATAATCAATTATACATTTTATCGATCGTTACGAAGTAGATGTATATATATATATATATATATATTCGAGATCGAGAAGAACAAACTGATGTATGGCTATAAATCTTGTCCGATAGCGGACATAGGATCGATTGTGTAAGCGAGTTTTCCAATGTCAAGCTGCAAAAAATCGCAGGTGGGAAGGAAAAATGCTCGTTCTGTTGCATAAAATTTACACATTGTAGATAGACGTTTATCCTGTAATTTCAATAATATTATCTAACGCAAACAAATCTTTCAGCTTTATTCGTCAGAGATTTCAAAGTCGATCGACCACCATAACTTGGCAACTCTAAATTTATCTTTATCGTGTCTTCGAAAATCTGTAGAAACGTTACAAATTTTACTACAAAATAAATCAAGTTAAATAGCGTTTCTCTTTCACCCGAAACGAAATTTTCGAAATTAGAAAAAGGAAAGGTGAAAATTGAAATTGATATTAGAAAATTGTCAAGAAAGGTGTTTCGTTCGTGTTCAGTTTCACGGGTTCAACGATTCGTAAGAAGAGTAGTAGTTGGAAAATTCGTTCCACGTGTTCGTTCTGTTGTCGGACGGAAACCTCGAGTCTCGCGCACGTCTGATTGGCAAATACGCAAACACAGTGAAACACACGAATTATCTCGAAGCGTGCCTCAATTGGCGGACGTTAGACGCATGTCGTACGATCGTGCATAAAGGTAGCGGGCAGCATCACGCCAGATCCCCTCGCACAATGCTGGCCGGATTAATACGTCAGCTCTTTCTTCGCTGCTTAATCGTTACTTCCGTCTCCCCGTGTGTGCCGCTTGTCCGACCCGTGCTACCCGTCTTATCCCTCCCTCGAGAACATTTTTCTTTTTTTTTTTTTTTAAAGAGATCGACGACTCTATCGACCCTAAATCATCCAAAAAAATCTGAAGAGATTTACTTTTGTACGGAGAGAAAGTACGGTTATTTAACGAATCGGTATTTCATGTTGTGCGAGTTGATATAACCGAAATTATCGAGTATATCTTCTCCACGTATATGATTCTATATAATTTAATGTAGGAATTGTAGTATAGGAATTTTTTGAATTTTAAAAAAGTAAACATGTGTCTGAAGTATTCGGGATGAATACAATCTTGGTCATCGTATATTAAATATGTTGTAAGGAATAATTAATCAATATGTATAAACAATTTTACAAAGTTATAAATTTTAAACGAAACGATAAATAATTTTGTTTCTCCGTGAGAAAAATGAATCGTGAGAACTCAATGATTAAATAACAGAGATCAAAGATTAATTGCAAAATAAGGACATAAAAAATTATTTATCAAGACTTTTTTCTTCGAGATATCGATTGTCCTTGAATAAACAATTTATTATAAAAACTTATTTAATCGTTATCATATAAAATATACCATTAAATGTGTTTACTTACACATCGTTCCCGCATTTTATATGCAAATATCTTGCTCGATCGTTCGTTAATTATAATCGTTTAAACGTGATCGAGGTATCGATACAAAGGCCTGGTTTAAATTTCGAAAGAATATTAAATTGTGCTCGAATAGTTGAAAACTGGCCAGAGAAAGTAGGACGAGCAACTATTAGACTTTTCTGTGGTAGTAGTAATTAGCAAGCGCGGTGATATCGTGTGAAACTGAACTATGCTTCTCGAATTGTTTCGAGGGTAATAATAAGAACTGTGACAAAACGGGCATCGAATTTAAATCCCTCAAATTACTCCCGGTTTAAGTTAGGCTTAGAAAAGTGGTGGTTGCCACCACTCGAGGACGCAGCCAGTTTCCCTTGACACTGTGAACTTTAAGATTTTCTCGTTTCGCTTCGCATTCCTGTTTAATATCTTCTTCTTATCGACAATATGATCGGTATTCGATATTATTCGTTAACACATGAGACTAGCAAGTAAAGTACACGCGTTATCACGATATTGAAAAAATTTTTCATGACTTATACAGGATGTTCCAAAGATATGGGTTAACTGAAGTTAACTGAAGACTGAGTTTCAATATTTTCCTTTGCAAAAACTTTCGTTTACGATTTTGTTAACGAATTATTAACAGAAAAACATTTCGATCGATCACGGATCAAGCGATGGTAGCGTTGGATATATACCGGCAATCGAGCACGAACAAGCAACACGTATCGAAGAAAATTACACGAATATTTTCTTATAAAACTACATCGAATTACATCTTATTTAGGAATAAAAAAAGCTAATTAATTATTCGTACAGGATGTTCGTATAAGATTTCTCTACCCTTCATTCCCTTAATCGTCTTAATATAAATAATATATAAATAATATTTTCAACCTTGTTAATTTCAAATTAATTATTATACCTAACTCGTGGATCGATTGATCTATCTATAAATCACCATCTTCTGAAACAGAAAATACGTTTGAAATTATTATATTAGCGAAGAAAAATAAAACTAAGTTTTCCAAAATCCGTAGAAACGAATATCTGTAAAATAACCGAGAAGAAAATCTATAGAAAAAACTGCATCGTTACCTTCCTATCCTCTCCTACACAGACAATAAATATTCACACGGAGAATGTATTCGAAGAAACGAACCGGGTCGCATCCCCCTTGACAACGAATTATTCCGGCGGTTTAACGATGCAGGAGGATCATATTATCGGTATCACAATTAGACACGTTCCACTTTCGTCGAACGTAGGGGGGAAAAAAGGAAAGGACAAACGATCCCAATTAGGGACTATCGGTGGAAATCGTGTACTCGTGAGACGACGAGACCGGTCGGTCGGTCGGTCGGTCGGTTACGAGAGATGAGAAGAAAGGGTGAAAGAGAGAGAGAGAGAGAAGGAGAGGAGGAGAGAACTGGCTCCAGCATTTTTGTCGCGCTGTGAAAGGTCAATACGAGAATTTCACTCGTGCATCGTCTTCACACGAGTTCTATGCACCGACCGCATCATGCAACACACCGTTCCTCCTCCGAGAGTACAACGTAGTATTTCTAAACTCATAGCGAGAACGTTCGTTTGCATTTGACCCCTTTTCACCGTGGAGATCGTAAAATCGTTCGAGATGCTCTTTTACCCAGGATTGGAAGGATTGGAAGGAAGTCGGCCGCATTTCAAATAACACGGTATCAAGATCGCGTGAAATTAAATCACGATCGAATAAATTCTTTCGATTCGTTTAAGGATTATTTTGAAAGAGCTTTAGCTAGCTTTAATCCGTTATTTATCATTGCAGAAATTTGGACAGAAATTCGAAAGCTTGGAAAGAAATTTATTTATATAGAAAGTTTAGTTCGCGGTGAAAAAAAGAAAAGAATAATTATCCGGAAAGAAGGTAGAGGAGGTTATAACTCACCGTTTTTTGTGGTTTATAGTTTTTATTACTTTGATGAGTGATAAATATTGGTAATGGCGCAAGATAAACGTTAGCCATTCTACAGAAAGATTATCGGCGCTAGTGGCAAAGGTAAAACGGTTGGGGATCGTGAAAGTCGTGAACCTTCACCTGTAATCCGATTCTTCTCGCATCTGTTCCGTTCACCAGATCGGGGGAATAAAGAAATAAAAGAAACCGCGGTTGTACGAAGATGAATCGAGCAGGTTAATTCGCCTACCGGCGGCGGATTAACAAAAAAAATTCCATAGACGTGTAACTGTAGATGTTCCCGGCTAGATTTATAGATCCTGAACAACGAAAGAACGGTACTGTACTGGCGAAATGTTGTTAATGTGTCGAGGGGTTCCTACACGCGAAACGTTAAGTACCTCGTGAGATTTGCCGCGGTGAAACCTCTGTTAATTGCTTTTCGCACGACCAGCTCGCCGAAATTCGACAAGAAATTTCACAATTCTTAATTAACACGTAACCGTTCAACGGAGAAATCTGGTTACTAAACGATTCTTAGACGATACACACAAAAACATCTTTTCGATACGAAACGAAAATTTTAAAGTTATAAATTGAAAGAAAAAGTTAGATTTTCAAAAAACCAATATTTCCAAATTAACGAGCTTTTATATTATAATTGTAATATATTGATCCTTCGTGATAAACAATAAAGTAAATTTCTCGTTTTTATATCAAGTTTGTATCGACCGAGCAAGGAATCTTGCGGGTTGCCTACCACAGGCAGCGAAAACTTCTCGTTTTTAACAGCATATCATATCAACGACTAATTTACAATATTCGTAATAATCATCGTACTTTTCACAATTGTTATGAAGCTCACTTTCCAATAAAGCTCATTTTATAAATCACGTCGTCCATAAAACTCGTCAACGAGAATCGTTCGAAGACGAAACGAAATTATTCGTCGCACATTTGACTCGATTCGCTCGATTTCACGAGCAAAAGAGCTCGTAATTAACACGTTAACAAACATATCCCTCAAACATATCTCCATTCGGCGACGGATAATCCCTAAACGAAGCGAGAATCGTCGGTAACGAGAGTGCGGATCCTGTTCCTCGCGCCCACGCGCACCTGTTGCTTCGTCGATGAGGAAAAAGAGGGTTGAGCACAGTTGAATTCACGAATGATTCATCTAACCACCGTTGATCGAGCAGGCCTCGCTTCTTTCTTCCGATTTCCGCGAGCGTAATTGCGAGGGAAATCTTCGCGTTCCCATCTTCCATGCAATAATTGGAAATCAGCCAATCGTGGAATGTGGATGGAAGAGAACGAGTGGATCGATCATTATTACCGTATCGGAACATCACGCCGCAGTCGCATAAATATCCATAAACGCGCGTTGGTCGTCCATTCGCGAGAACGAGAAGGCTCGGCCATTAATCATTAAAGAATCCACAAGGATGCACGGGTCGAGAGTCCTTCGAGAGTTTACTCCTGTCTTGTGTGGAGATGCATACGTGCGCATACGCGCATAGGTTAAAATATGCAGCTAGCTACGCGTCGTGATCGGTGCAATCCTGTTCGGTTGAAAAATAATCGATGTGGAATAGAAGCGTAGAAGTGATCCATAGATTTAAGCGGTTGACACCCGATTTGTGACAAAGGGTTTTCCAATCGAGATGATGTGAAAAAGTATTTTCAGTATTCTTCGATTCTTCCTCTATGAATCGTTCACTATTAATTTAATACGTACATCTGAATGAATCTCATTAACAATCTTGTACCGGTTTACCAATGACGTTGGCAATAAAGTAATTAATTAACCGATACGAATCGCTGTCCAAAGTATTCTAAAAAATCTATTCCTCATCCGAAGATTTTTTCCAAACTCTCTAATCGATTATATATCGAAACGAGCTAAGATTACTTTCATTTCTATATTCCGTACAATATATAAATACTTACGTAGAATCTACGTGGAGCCTACGTAGTGTAACATGCGATTCCTCCGGTTCTTTGGGGCCACGGTGTGTAACGGTAAAGAGACGGCAAGCTGGCTAAAAGTCGCAGGCCTCCCTTACACGTGTGTATATGCGTGTGCGTGTGTATATGCGTGCGTGCACGCGTGTGTCGCCGCGGCGTGAGTTTTCGTTTCACGGTCAAAAGGATAATCCTTCTCTCTGTCACTTCTCATCCGTCTTTCTGTCCCACCGGCTAATTGAGTTGCTCCGGACCGCGGCCACGGATCTCTGTCACGTTTCATTTTCTCCCGTCTCCGTTTCACCGTCACAATCGGCCACGAAACTCTCGTTTCCAGGGATACGATACATACGATACATACGTGTATATACACCACGTTTCTCTCCATTTCGACCGTGGACGAAATTGGATTTCGTCATCCTTAGCCACCTGTGTGTGGAGAGGAAGGCGAACGTGTGTACCTGTTAACCCGCTTCTCCCCCTGCTTCTCCTCCTCTGTTTCTCGCTCACTTTGTCATACACGGATGGATACGCCAATGGTTTCCTCGGGACGAGATATATGAAACGTCGTTGATCGTATAATCCGTCGGGTGAACGTGGAAAATAATCCGACACTTATGCTTTCGTGGCCGTGGGCGGATTAATCGTTTGTGTTTTAACTTCCATTCACGGGGGCCTTTTGTGCCGCGTTTACGGAGCGCCACGTTTATTGTTCGTCCCGGCGAGATTATTCCTTTGGAAAGTCGCTTGAATTATGGCCGATGGTGGCTCTTCTTCTTTCTACGTTATTGGGGAGACTCGGTATATATACACCGTGGAAAGAACGGGCGAATGGGAATAAAATGGCCCCCGTTGGTGGTTGCGATTCGCGGATTGTAAGCCGAAGATACGCGATCTTTATTGTAAACGGGCCTGCAAACGAATAGGGAAAGGGAGGAATACGAGTTTTGTACGTACGTGAAACGTTGGATATAAGAGGAGATAGATTAATTACCTGCAGTCGGTACAGTGGTTTAAAAGGTGTTTAATTTTATACGTCTTATCTAAGTGGTTTCGGTTATTCCGGTAAGAGGTGGTTAAAGGATAAAATAGTCTAAACAATTTATAACACGCTTTTTATGTCTTTCTACCATTAAAAGCCGGAATTGAAAATCGTCGTTTATTTCGTTCACGTCTGGCCATGACGTGGCGCCGTCAATATTTTTTAACAAAAATGTAATTAGCTACAACGAACTTTACAATTCCGTGACTCAACGTTTACACTCGTATTAACGTAATTCTTTTCTTTTCTTTTTTTTTTTTTTCTTAACTTCATAAATTCCTCTCGCTAAGAAATATGAAAATTTGATATATTGCTGTGAAAAATAATTAATATGAAAGAATTAAAAAGAATTTTTTATAATTCCGCATATACGTATCATTTTTCTGAATGTATATATAGTTATAAGATTTCCGTATCTTTTCTATAATTTTCATCATTATCAAAAGTGGCTATAATTAAGTTGGCTATAATTAAGTTAAAAAATATTTAAATATATTATTTTAAAACAACAAAAATATATAATTTTTTATTATATGTAACAAAATAATTTAAAGCAAAAAGACAATATTGCAATACCACCACAATCACCGTAAAAATAACTTTTGATCTTTGTTTGATATCTATCTATTTATATATATATTTTCTCGTATTATTTTCTCAAGAAGAGTTTCATTTCTATGCTTTAGCGTTATATTTTAGCGTTATACGATGGACAGTAGCGCAATTTTCAATTACCTTGTATAAATAATCCTCCCAAACTGACCGGCGACAATTAATCTGTTTCAGCGGTGTGCAAGGAGGGTTGCCACCCCGTCCACGGTCACTGCAACGTCAGCGGCGAATGCAAATGTCGACACGGTTGGCGCGGTGAACTCTGCGACCAGTGCACCCCCTACCCTGGTTGCAAGCACGGATATTGCAACGGTTCCAGTTGGCAGTGTATCTGCGACACGAATTGGGGCGGCATCCTCTGCGACCAGGACCTCAATTATTGCGGCACCCACGAGCCCTGTCAAAACGGCGGACGTGCGAGAACACGGCGCCGGACCAGTACAAATGCACCTGTCCCGAGGGATTCTCGGGACCGACCTGCGAGAAGGTGGACAACCCCTGCGCCTCCAATCCTTGCGCCAACGGAGCGACTTGCAGGGAACTCGGTGAGAGCGCGCATTGCGAGTGTGCCCCTGGATTCTCCGGCCCTTACTGCGCCACGGATATAGACGAGTGCGCCTCCCAACCTTGCCAAAATGGCGGCACCTGCGTCGACGGGAAGAACGAATTCGTGTGCAATTGTCCACCGGCCTGGCAGGGTGTTCTCTGCCAATTCGACGTGGATGAGTGCGCCCTGAAGGAATCCCCCTGCAAAAATTCATTGACCTGTGTGAATCTTGCCGGTGATTACAAGTGAGCGAGCGACAATTTGTTTTATTATGTTTTATTACGATTTGAAAATTTAACATCGGTCGGATGAATAGTTTCAAGGGTTTAATTAGAAAATCTCGACCTCGTTTCAGATGTCGCTGCAGGAGCGGTTTCACGGGGAAGAACTGCACGAAGAACATCAACGATTGCATCGGCCAGTGCCAGCACGGGGCATTGTGCATCGATCTGGTCGACGATTATCACTGCAGCTGCACCGCCGGCTATTCGGGCAAGGATTGCGACGTGGACATCGACGAGTGCGCCTCGAAGCCGTGTCAGAACGGCGGCGAATGCAGAGACCTGGTGAACGCGTACGAGTGCGTTTGTCCTGTCGGTTTCACCGGATATCAGTGCGAGATCGACAAGGATCATTGCAGCCCGAACCCTTGCAGAAATTCCGCGCCTTGTTTCAATACGCAGACAGATTACTACTGCCACTGTCCGGAACAATGGCAAGGGAAGAATTGTTCCGAGCCAGCCTCCCATAATCCGCAATTCGGCATGATGGACGAGGAGTCCGGGTGCGGCAGCGAGGGCACACCATGCGGCGGCAGGGGTAGATGCAGCGGTGGCAGATGCATTTGTGACGCCGGGTATACAGGGATGCACTGTCACGAGAACATCAACGATTGCAGGGGTAATCCTTGTTTGAACGGTGGCACGTGTGTCGATTTGGTTAACTCGTTCCAGTGTATCTGTAGAGAGGGATGGACCGGAGATCTGTGCGATCAAGGTAAGCGATTGTATCCGACGTTTCAAACTTCGTAATTTTTAATTTGTTTCCTCGTGCAGAGACGTGTTAAACGCAATAAAATAGATTATCACGATCGATGAAAAATCTCTTTTCAATAAAATTATTTCTTATCGTTCATCTTCAGACGTGGACGAGTGTACGAACTCACCCTGCCGCAACAACGGCACCTGCGTGGACGGTGTCGCGGACTTCACCTGCATCTGCAGGGGTGGATGGAAGGGCAAAACTTGTACTCTTCGCGCTGGACACTGCGAACCAGGTACCTGTCGCCACGGTGGAACTTGCCAAGATCGCGGAGATGGATTCACTTGTCACTGTCCACCAGGTTGGGAGGGAGCAGCATGCCACATAGCATCTCCGGCGTGCGCGAGCAATCCTTGCGAGAACGGGGCGACCTGCGTGAACACCGCCGATGGGAATTACAGATGCGTCTGTCGCGAAGGTTTCGAGGGTCCGAATTGCCGTCGAGACGTCGACGATTGCCAGCCATTGCCTTGCTTGAACGGGGGTAAATGCGTGGACGGGATCAACTGGTTCAGATGCGAGTGCGCGCCAGGCTTTACCGGTCCAGATTGTCGTATAAACGTGAACGAATGCGCCAGCGATCCCTGCACGACTGGGTCCACGTGTGTGGACGGTATAGCGAGCTACACTTGCATCTGCCCGCCAGGAAGGACCGGGGTACGCTGCGAGATTCGTACAGCGGGTGGACCAGGATGCCCGGTGGCTAGCTGGGACGACGATTGCAACGTCTGCGAATGTCGTAACGGGAAGAACCAGTGCAGCAATATCTGGTGCGGTCCTGGAAACTGTCTGAACGGTACATCGTGTCTGGCTCACGAGGTATGCGTGCCTAGTCCGAACGAAAGTTGTCTAGCTCCGCCGTGTCCAGCATGGGGCGAATGTCGCCCCGTGGAAACTGGAAGAAGAGTAGGGCCGCCCGCTCTACCGGCACCGCCCTCCTGTTGGCCTGGACAAGCCACGCCGGGCCCAACCTGTTCCAGGCTTACCATCCTGTTAAGAAGAGACACTCTGGCCGCCAGTACATCGGTAGAGATCCTCTGTAGACGATTGAGAAAACTTCTATCCGATCCGAGAAGGCCACAGTCGATCGTTCTTCTGTGCGATCTTAAGCCTGGTGATAACGACACAGTGGAAGTGACCATATTCTCGGAAGCGGCCGCAGATGCGGCCAGAGATCTAGGCGAGGCCCTTAGCAGACCCCTGGGCAGACCACTCGCTCTGGCCTCCGTGCTCGAGGTCAAAGTGGAGACGGCCTTGCTCAGCGAACCGAGTTCCGTAAACTCGAGCAGCGCGGGAAGCTACGTGGCCGTCCTCGGCGGAGCTCTGGCGACCGTTTTGGTGTTGGCTTTGTTCGGTGGACTGTGGTATCTTCGAACGGTCAGACAAAGATCCAGCCTGACCGCGACGACCAGCAGCGAGACATCGTTGCATCGACACCGCAGCGATTTGGACGAAAAATCGAACAATCTTCAAAACGAGGAGAATCTTAGGAGATACGCGAACCCTTTGAAAGACCAGGATCAAGGAGAACCAAGAGTTTCCGTGGTGAGACCTTTGTCTGGAACTTCGTTGGGTGCGCTCGGTGCAACCGAAGAGAGTTTGGAAATGGTCTCGGACGAGAGTAGACATCGGTTGCCACCACTTTACAAAGCTCCCAGCGCAGAAGCCAGGAACAATACCGCTAGTTTTACGTACGAAGAAGGGCCTCATAAACCGTACAGCAAACCTAGATTGCAGGAGCCGACGTATTCTCAGCAAGGGAGCAGCAATCAGACATCGGGACCGCATCAAGTACTGACGGTGCACGTGTAATGCCCGCAGACTTACGGATGTTTCGTGAAAAATTTCATTCGGAAAAAACACTTGCGAGTGAGAGACGCGAAAAGGTGGTGAAACGGAATTATCGGACTCGCTGTACCAAGTGTTTACGCCAACGGTTAATTGCAACGAACAGACTGAAGGGTTAATAATACACGATTCAACGGATATTCGCTTACTTTAGAAAATGAAATTGCGAAAAATAAAATTGCGCTGCCTTTTTTTTTATCCGCTAAAAATTAAGAAACCTCGAAACCGCGTTTTACTTCAAATCTTTTTTCCTTCTGCGAATTGATACGAAAAGAAGGGAGATATTAAAGTATGTAGGAAGATAGAGAAAGAGGAGAATTATTTTAACGTTATTTTACCGATAGTATTGATTTATAAAATTCGACCATTTCAACAAAAAATTGATTCATTAAACATGAGAAACATCATTCTTTATCTTTCTCTAATATGTCTCTCGCTAATAACGCAACGACAATAATTGACCGGTCTACAATTATATATTGACAAGTTGCCGAGTTGTTTTATCGTACTGTACATATGTACATAGCCTGTACTTATTAATTTCGCTAAGCCTGTATCATCTCCAAATGCCGTCGTCCCTTACGGACAGCCTTAAGGCCTGATCTATTGACGTTGTATTCGCGTTACAATCGTAAACATTCCCCTACGATCCGAAGCTGAGAACACGGGCCAAGTGACGGCATAGCAGGCCACCGTAGATATTGTAGAGCTATAATAGCGCACGTAGGCGAATTAATCTGCGCGAAAGCAGGCTTCGGACGCTCCGTCGGACGATATTATTGTGATACTCATAGAGCGAACGAGAGAGAAAGAATGCGAGAGAGAATATTATTGCGCGATAAGATTTATCGAGTCCCTCGTAGCGCCCTCTTGGAAAAATCATGATTAATAAATCACGATTGATAACGATAACGTGTTAAGAAAAATCTTCAATTTGGTTTGCTAACTAGTTTGCAACGGTTTGCATCCGTTTGCCGTATAATAATCAGTAGGATTACGCACGGTTCTATCATTGCGATTCGTGATTTAATTACACAAAAATTAATTAATTATTCATGTGATGTATCGTCGTATCCACGAGTCGATCTATAATGAAAAGGAAGTATTCTTTTTATTTTTCCTGCGTAGAGGGTGAAGGGAGCGTGTAGGAATCGATAAGATGCGACATATGGCATAGCCATTCGCGTGATCGAAACGTTGTATGATGTAAATAAACCCATTACATAGATCCAGATAATTCCCCGTCCCACTTCGGATTGTATTTTATCCTATTTCCTCCTTTCTTCCCTCTGTTAGATGTGCAATTTTATTATTTTTTTTTTCCTCCCCTTCCCTTCCTCTTAATATCGTTCCAAGCGTATGGCGACGCGCAACGACGGACGCATGAAACGCGCGTATTACTAGACTTTAAACGAGAAAGAAAACCGTATTGGGCGTACTGTAAGATGATAACGGAAGAAATTTTTTATAACAGATAGTTATTTTATAAAAAAATCTATAATATTATACAAAATATATAGAAGCGATGAAGAAAAAAAAATATATATATATATATTATATTATTTTATATTATATTATATTATTTTTTATATTTTATTGCCTTGTATTTTAATTATTGAGAGATCATGGACAATAGTTCCAATCTATACTATACTATACTATACTATACTATACTATACTATATTATACTATACGATCGATCGATCATAACGATCTCGTGAACATTTTTTATTCTGTTTTTCAATTCAACGGAACTAATGTCCCTGGTCTCCAATTTAGATAGCTAATGGATAATCCACGCGTTGTGATCAATCCCGTGTCAAATAATCGCGAAGGAAGTGTGAATGAGTGCGTGTAAATAAAGTTAAGCTCCTTCCGGTCCCGCAATTTCTTTCTTTCCGCCTAAGTTTACAACAACGACGACGATGACTATGACAACGACAGCGACATGATAATAATAATAATAATAATGATGATGATGATGATGATGATGATGATGATGATGATGAAGAAATTTCAATAAAAAGTACAACCCTTATGACACCGTTTCGTTTTTACTTCTGGTTTATTGCACCCGAACAGCAACAGACCGAACGAATTCTCTCACGTGGTGAGAGCCCGAGTCGATGTCCGCGCAAGTTGCATTCAAATCACCGGGAACGCAGAATCGTAGGTAGACGTGCCTTCCGGGAGCAACTGGCACGATCCAACGATAAGAAACAGAACGAGCAACGCGTAGTTTGAATACATTTTTATTTAAATGATGAACGATGTCGAGTAATATTCGAGTAATATAAAATAATGATAATAAATACGGAATTTTAATAATTATTTATTCGTTTGCCAATCGCAAAGGTATCAAAATTTATTTAGAGAAATCATGATTGTAACAAAGAACGATAAAAGATAAAATTTATCATTAATTGTAAAATGGGAAGAGATATTTTGAATCCTTTAAATATTTGATTTTGTCTATCTATTATGTCTATATACAGAATTCTGATATTATATTAGTATTTCATTTATCAAAAAATTTCAAATTCATTCTTTTTGTATTTAATTAACAATTCCAACGCGTTTACGAAAAACTATATTATGCACCTTTAACAAATATAAAAAATACATAATAATAATTAATAAAAAAATCTTTTGTATCGATCATTATTTTTCGAATATAATCCCGAATAACTTTAAAACTCGTTTTAAAACTAATATAGCTGGCGAACGATGCCAGCGGTTGACGGATCCGGATCTCGTCAACAAAACCGAGCTTGGATTTAAATAGATCATTTGATCGAGTACAATACGGTGTTCATTATCATCGAAAGCGCGTCTGAGATTAACAAAGGCCGTGTATGTAGGCAATTTCGTGAGAGAGGAGGATCGGGCGATCATCGAGGGCGATTTTGACCACGATACATGAGCCGCGTATACAACCGCGTGACTGTTGAATGAACGACTTGCCGAAATTACAATACAATGGCCCAGAAGAGTCACTTGACGAATACCCGGTAAATGAGTCAGCCTAGCTGTTTGGCCGAATAAGGTCCGTGTGAACCATGAGCATCTAAGAGTACCTTCACGACGACAAATACGGGATATGCCTTGAGAAAGCGCAACAACATCAAGGTTACTCTCTAATAACGTCAACTAGAGAAATGTGACGCGTTTAAACGTTTTACCAATATGCTATTTCCGGGTATTTAAAAATGGTTACATCGTAGAGTTGTTTGAACACGATCGAACATGTTTGATATCTGAAATGACACTTGATCAAGGAAAATGAATGTTGTTGCAAATGAAGGAAATAATTATCTTTTTTGGTCTGAAAAAAAAAAAGTAGCATGAGAAGAAAAAAATATCGAAAAATGACAAATTTCAGGGTAAAATTAATTCTGGAAAAGGAATGTGATTTTTTTTTAGGAAATATATATAATCGATTAGAGTTATTCAATGGAAGAATTCGACGTTATCGTTAGTCGTGATAACTTCATGTTTAAAAAATATTAAATAAATTATTGGTAAAATAAATTAAAAAAAATTAATTAAAAATTTTAATTAATTGAAGATAAAAAAAATGGATCCTTTAAAAAAGGCCCAAGTAATTTTATAATCTTCTTTTTTTCTTTTTTTTCAGCTAATTTTTTAATTTTTCATTTATCATATGCATTTTAGAATATAATTGATCCCGAAGATGTATCAAATTATTATTTAAACTATAAGGGATGGGATAGGAAAGAATGGGAATTTCTGGAAGATGAAGAAGAAGAGAAAATCAAAGAAGAACTGGACTGGATTTTTGAAGATTTTTTAATGGAATTTGAAGATATAGCCGAAGAAAAAATCGAAGAAGAAGAGCTACAAAAAGTGATTGGTGTAATATTATTTTGGTAAACCTAACTTAAAGAAAAAGGATATCATTCATGTGCACAAAAAATATAAGAACGAGTATTTAATGTTAAATCTATAGATATAAAAAAGGAAGAAGATGTATCGGAAAAAACACTGATCACCTCAGAAGAAGAATCCATCGTTTCTGAAGAATTGTCTGTAGAAAGTTCCATTCATCCTTGTCTTAAAGACATAGATATCAGTGATTCCCGATTGAAATTGCAAAATCTCTATACGATGTTTCCAATCCCTGATGATCCTGGTTTAGTACCAGCGTTCTGGACCATTCAGGAACGTCGACCTTCTTACGCAGATGACGGTATAATGAAATTTTTCGATTTAGTTAAAGCATCCTATATAAGACCTATACAAGCAATGGAAGACATGTTACGAACTAATAAAATCAATTTACAATATTACGGATTCAATTCCCGTATCATTAAACCTTTATCTGAAGCTCTAATGAAAAATCCTACTGTGAATACGATCAACCTTACAGTAATTTGATATTTTCTTATTTTATTTAATGTTACTTAATTTTCAGAACTTAATTTATAAAAGTATAAAAGAAAAAAAAAAAGAAAAAATTCTTAAAATTTTTGCTTAAATAAATAATTGTTCTAGGGTAATTGGTTATCAGAGGATGCCTGTTATCATTTAAATGAACTGCTTTTAAAAAACAATATAATACACACTTTGTTATTATCAGGATGTAAAATCGGTCCAAACGGTGTTGCGAAATTATATGATGGAATTTTTATGAATGAAACATTGAAAACATTAGATCTTTCCGATTGTAATTTACGTAAGGAAGGTATTGACTACCTTGTACAGGCAATTTGCAATAATGAAAGCATTGAAACTCTTTTATTGAATCACAATCATCTCGATGAATCGTGCTCAGATGCTTTACAAAAATTAGTTAGTTGTTCAAAGATAATAAAACATTTAGAATTATCTTGGAATTCCTTATACACAACAGAAACTTGGAAGAAATTTATTAAAGGACTCGAGGAAAATGAAACTTTACGCGATCTTGATTTATCTTGGAACGCTTTAGGAAAAGAATGTATTTCGTATTTGCGTCGATTATTATTGCGATCTTCAACATTAAAAAAGTTGCATCTGAATGGTAACATAAAGATAAAAATCAAATATCTATATTAAGATTTTTTTCAGTATTAATATTTCTTCATTTCTTATTAAAATATAACATAATGAATATGGATATTTAATAAATAATGAAATGTCTAGTTCATATCGCATATCGCTTTTATATTCAGGAAATCGTTTTACTAATGATGATGTAACTGTCATCGCAAGAGCACTATCAAGAAATGCAACACTCGAGGAACTATATATAGGTGACAATCCTTTCAAAGCTGATGGTGCATTTGCTCTCGTTAAAGCAATTACACCAGAGAAATCGTCAGAAAGTCAGCTACGTATTTTAGATCTTACGAATATTTGGGCAAATAAAAACATAATACCAGAACTTGAAACAATTCAAAATAGTAAACCATGGGTCGACATTAAATTGGGAGGTATATTTAGTAATTATAAAATTGAAGGTCCAGATGTAAAAGCAATACTTTTAAAAAGAGCCAATTATGAAGCCATGAGACCAAAAAAAAAACGACGTCGTAAAAATTTTGGTCATTTTGTATTATCACTTTCTGATGATCTCATTTCGAAAGGTACATAAAAATAAAAACGATATAGTATTTACTTTTATTAAATTAAAATTAATATTGCAGGAAAGTTTTTAGAACTGGTGCAAAATTTCCAATTAAACTTATCTAAATCTTTATTAAATGAACTAATGATTGCATTTAGTGGTATAAAAAATAATGTTGATCAAGGCTTATTAAAATCTGTTTACATGAAACAATATCCAAATACAAAACTTCCAACAGAAAAACCTAAAAAAATCAAAAGTAAAAATAGAAAAATTAAAAAAAAGAAATAAAAGAAACTAATGAGGAAGAGAATCTATAAAAACGAATTTTGTAGTTTATTTATAATATCTTAATTTTAATAGTTTAAATAAAGTATAATTATATAATAACTCTGCTTTCTAATATATAAGAATAAACATATTATATTATAAAACATTATAATATTAGCAATGTAAATTGTAAAATTTAATTCTTTTTTATTATTAATCTATATAAAATATCCTAGCAGAAATATCATCAACAATCCAATTTATTCCTTCTACAAGATTTTCTCCTGTAATTGCTGAACATTTGTATATTTGCCAATGATGAGTCTTAATACTAGGTAATTCCAAAATTTCTGCAATGTCAGATGCAGATAATGCTCCAGGTAAATCCTGTTTATTTGCAAGGATTAATAAACTTGCACCTTCTAATCTCTCCTCTTGTAAGAGTTTATATAATTCTATTTTACAATCTTCCAATCTTCTTTTATCTGCACTATCAATTACCCATACAAGACCATCAGTAGATTCAAAATAATTTCTCCAATAAGAACGCAATGATTTTTGGCCACCTACGTCCCATATATTTAATTTATATCCACGATGTTCCAAAGTTTTAATATTGAAACCAAGAGTTGGTGATATTGTGTCGATTGGTTCTCCATTAATTCTTTTTAAAACTGTTGTTTTACCAGCATTATCCAAACCTCTATAAACATATAAAATATATGAATCAAAATATATATAAAAGAACAAAAATTATATATATGTATATTAACTATAATTTATATATATAATTTAATATATATATTATATTAAACTATAATTATATTTTTACAAGATATAAAAAAAAATCATTAAAATAAATAATATAGATATACATGTATAAATGCAATATACATGTAATTTTATAAAAAAAATATATACTAACTTAAATACAATAACATATTCTTAACCTATAAATATTGAAAGATATATAAAAAGAAAGATACGTACAACATTAAAATGCGCATTTCTTTTTCCTTTTGTTTTAATTTTTTAAGTACTGTTAACAGACCCATTATTAATCACAGAAATATCACTAGTCACAATTTTATACACGCATTATCTATATTCTCAGAATATGTAAATATAATTGTGCAACTAGTCAACCTTAACCTCTATATAAAACAATAAAATTGAATGTAACATCAAATGAATATCAAATGAATATAAAATATAAAATTTTTAAGTTTTAATTATTTAAAATAAATGAATTCAATATTAATAATAAATTAAATATTAAATAATGAAAAAATAGATAATAATTTGTGTAAACAAATTGAAAATTCCACAATATATTACATAAATATTAGGATAGAAATAATTCAGTAACTTTATTAACTACATCAGGATGACAAAGTGCATTGATAATATTTTCAGATAAACATTGAGCAGAAGAGTAAATATTCTGTAGATTAATATGAGTTTTGGAAGAATCTTCTTTTAACATTTCAAAATATTCTTCAGAAAATCTTTCCCTTTTCATTTTCAAAAATTCTTCTAATTCTGTTATTTTAAGCTCATGAGGTAATTTTACATAAACTGGATACTCTATTGCTAAATCTTTGGCAGTCCATGTACTATGTTTTATTTTTTTATTAGGTGATTCTACATTTTCTATATGTTTACATTCTTCAATAGCAATATTGAGCTGTTAAAATAAATTAATTTTAATCTTTAATATTTATATAACTAAAAATATTAATATAATTTAACATTATTACTAATAAATATTTATTATACATTACCAAATTTATACTATCTATTTCATTAATTTCAGGTATATTATAGATATCTTTTCCAATTTTAGCTACTATTAATTTAACAATAGCTTCTTTAACTCTTGATATATTATCTGTTAATACTGGTAACCACATATTGACACTAATACTAAAATCCAATGATTCAACATAATGCCACCAACCAGGAGGCACAAATAATATATCTCCTGGTTCTAAAGTTACTAGTTTTGCTGTGTCTTTTATTTTTAATATATTAGTCTCATCTTCCTTAGTAGGACAAAAAAAGTTATATTTACTATATATTGTAGATTCTTCATAAGGAATTCTTGTTGGTCGAAGAAAGTTAGTTGAATTTGGAGGAAACAATAACCATTGTTTCCTAAAGAAAATAATATATTATTAAACAATCTTATTTTTTTATTGTTTTTTGTTTTTATTTTTCTTTTTACTTATAAAACTAACCTTCCATGTATTTGAGCTACTAAATTACAACCATAAGAATCCTGATGACAATTTGTATGAGCTCCTTTACTTCCAATCCAAATAGTAGAATCATCACCAGTTTTATCAATATTAAATCTTTTCCAATTTATTGAATTTATTATTTCTGGTTTATTTTTAAACCATTCTTGCATATATTTATAATCAAAATAATACCACTTTTTATGATTTTCATGGAGTTTCATATTTTGAATAAATTCTAATAGTGTCATTAAAACTGTTGGACAATTTACTTCCCATTGTGGATTCTGAAATATATGAAATTTTTAAATTTATTATTATACTAATAAATATAAATATAAAATAATATATAAAAAAAAAGTATAAATAAGATAAATAAGATAGCAATAGCAATTTACCGTAGATTTAGCATTATAACCAACTCGAAATGGTAATTTAATATCTCCGAATTTTTCAGCAAGTTCCGATAAATTCCATTCAAATAATTTCCAACAATAATCATCTTTTGCATTTTGTAAGAATCGTTGAAATATCACTGGTTCTTTAATTCCATAATAGCTTGATATAAAACTTTATCTGATGGTGAATTCAATGTTTCCATTGTTAAAAGTTATTTATTCTTTCCAAATATAATTTGATCAGATTATATTATTATATACATTATATAGGTTATATAATTTTAAAAAATAAATTCAATTTTATTTATAAAAAACAGATAGATTATTAAAGATTATTATTAAATTATTTAATTTTTTATTATTTCTTTAATATATATATAAAAACATATTATATATTTCAATAATGATATCAAAATAATTTAATTTAATAATTTCAAGTTGTATACATCTAGTACAATTTAAGTAATATATACACAAAAATATAATAGTATTCCTAACCTAACCTGAAACAATTTCACTGTAGTTTAATATTGATTCCTATATGCTTTTTAATTATATTGTATTCAACAAAGAAATAAATATGTTAAAGTATACACAATTGTGTAGAAATTATTTAAAATTACTTTTTTCGCATCAGAATAATGTATTAATACAACAAAATCGGGTAATATTTAGTATTAATTTACAACAAATTATAAGTATAAAATTAAATATTAATTTTATTAATTAAAATAAATAATTATTATTTGTTATTTTAGAATACGTTTATTTTAAAAAGAAAATATCCAGTGCCTCTTTATAAAAAATATGAGACACGTGCAAAGTTAAAACATAAACATTTCATTTATGAGCTTGTAGAAGATACAAATGTTAAACCACAAAAAAAAATTGATATTGTCTTGCTAGAAACTGTAAAAAAAATTGGTGAAAAAGGTGAGAAAGTCACAGTGTCTTCTCAAAAGGCTTATGAAACTTTGATACTACCCAAATTAGCTGTATATGCAACACCTGAAAATCTAGAAAAATATTTAATTGAAGACCAAGATGAAAAGAAGAAATTATCTATGTATAGTTCTCAATTTGTTGAAAGAACAATGAATGTATTATCTGTGTGTTATTTATCATTATCAATGTCCATGGATATTCCATGGACTATAGAAAAATGGCATGTGAGAGTATCGTTTCGAAAATTAGGATATATTGTACCTGAAGATGCTATAATTCTTCCAGATAAGACTATATCTGGACCAAATCTATCTATTGAAAATAAAGAATTTTATATTCTTATTAAAATCAATAATCATGAAGAAGTTAAAGTTAGATGTAAAATACATCATTATACTTCAGATCCAAAGAAGCAAATTAAATATGATGTACCATTTTATCAATTAAAAAACATAGCAATTTTCGCAGAAGATCAACCAATATTAAATTCCCTTCCAAAACATCGTTTAGCTAATTTTGAAACTAATGATGTAAATAAATGATGTGAATAATAAATAATTGTATTATTATAAAAGTGATCATTTCATGATAAATGAAAATCAAAAATTTTATTTTTTTGAAAACTCAAAAAAATTTTAATATTATTTTATAAATTTAATAATTGAAATACCTATAAAATGTCTTTATATCTATATTTTAATAATGAAAAAATAAGTTATAACAATATATAATTTCATAACTATTTTCACAGATATAAATTCTTATATATATCAATTTTTATAAATATAAAAATAAATATAAAGTCTAAAGAAAATGATTTTGAATATTTATTATTTTCTTTACGTCTTTCTAAATATTTTATATGTTACATTTATATATAACATCATAATATTAATCTTTTTTTAAACTTATATTTATATTTACAAAAGAAGAAATGCATATACATATATGCAATTAATAATTTATTTAGCATTAAAGCAGCATTGAATAGTGATTTGCTTTTTACTTAATTAATTAACCTATCTTTTTACTAATTCAATTATTACGAATAAAATGTTATTATTCTAATATTTAAAAATGGAAGATAGATACTTTGCATGGGACGAAATTTCTGATGCATTAATTTTAATAAGGTAATAAATTTTCTAGCAATTAAAATATATATTTATATAAATTTTATATAAATATATAAATTTGTATAAATTATAATCTATTCATAAACGAAATATGACAAATATTTATTACAATTATAATTTCTTTTTATATTTAAATATATAAGTACACAAAAGACTGAAGATGAACATGTTAAAAAAATTAAACAAAAATCTGATCCTGTTTACCAATCAAAGGTGTATTGTCCACATGCATATTTAATTTTAAATTTTCAAGAAACCTTAAGTCAACGTGAAAAGGTAAATATCAGAAAACAGATGATTCATTTATATTTTTAATTATATTTTATATTTTTCAAATATATATTTCAGTTACGATTTAGAAGATATTATTTAAGAAAAGTATCTCCAGGTGAACCAGATGTCATTATTTTACAAGATATAAAAGATCTTGTGATGTTTTTATTGATCAGTCCCATAAGTCCTCAGTTTATAAATTTTTTCCATTTACCAATTGTTGATCGTTTTTTGAGAGCTGCAATACTTTATTTTCAATATTATGTGATAACATGGGAAGAATTAATGAAGGAACGTGCAGCTACTATGAAAAAAGCACCAAATCCTTTGGCACAGGGTTATAGATTTAGATATGCAGAAGAAATGCAAAATCTTCGTTGTGTTTTAGGTAGAGAATATGCTGATTTAATAATAGGATGTCAAGATGTTATTCAATATCATCATATGACAGGTGGAAAAAAAGGAACATCTTTAACACAATCACAAGGAGAGAAAGATTTAAGAATATTTGAAGTACTGATTTGTATGACACATCGCATTGTCTGGATAGCTTTAGAACGCAAATATTTTAGTTTAATTGGTAAATAAAAACTATAATAATATAAATATTATAAAATATCTATAAAGAATAAAATAATATAATAATAAAATAAAGATTAAAATATTTATTTTAGAAATAGAATTGCATAGATTATTTAGAACTGAAACATATAACATAGCAGAAAGACGAAGTATAAGCCATACTATTCAGGATATGTTATATGATGATATTATAATATTACAAGGTCATAAAATACAAGAAAAAAGAAAATTACTAAGAAATTCTCCTTTAATACAAGAATTAATATATTCAGATTATGATTATCGTCTTTTATCTTTAGGTATTATTTTTTTCTATATATTTCTTTCTTAAAAAAAAAAAAAAAAGAAAGAAAAAAAAATGATACAATATAATTTACAGGAATAGAAGAAAATTATGATGATGAACGTATTCTTTATTTAAAATATGCTCTTGTTGTTGAAGAAGATAAGTTACGTGAACTGGGAATAAAAGTAGGAATTTTAGGAGAAAACAGAGCAAATTATGATATTACTCTAATGCCCTTGGAAGAAAAAGATGAAGAACAAGACAAAATTCAATTATCTGAAAGAAAAAAATATGAAAAAAGTATTAAAGATACATTGCAAGATATAGTAAGTTCTTATAAATATGATTTGTTTATAAGTATATGTTTTTATTAAAAATTAAATTATATTTTTAATATTATAGGAAATACCCATAAAAATTCAAAGGCTTCCATTATTTCAAACTAAACCTGATCTGACACGAGATTTTTCAATGAAAACTATAGATATATCACCAAAAGGCTATAAAATTGCTCGAGAAAGAGCAAGAAAGAATTGGTTGATGAGAGAATTAAAACGTCAGAAACGTGCCGAATACGATACATATTCAGTATCAACATTATTAGATTGATTACTTAAAAACAAATTAAAAATTATAAGTATAAATATCTAAATCAATATCAATTTTTTCGTATTTTATATTTATTTTTTAAATTTTAAAAAGAAGTTTTAATAACAAAATCTTTTTATGAAATGTTTTTAATCCAAATATAATATAATTTATACTATTATAATTTAGATTATTTTTAATTGTATTAAAATTTTTTAGAAAAATTTGAAATTTTTTTTAAATATCAATTATTAAGATATATTCTTTAAAAGAATATTTATGCAAGTTTAAATTAAAAATATATTATTTTATCAATAAATTAAAAATTTTAATGTTATAATATAATATGTTTATATACGGCAAATAATAAAAATAATTGATATATTCTATCAATTATCGAATATAAAACTATTCACATTGCTATGATAAACTATATATCTATATATAAGTATATATCAATTGATATTATTTATAATAATTTCAGTTTTTATTAATTTTATAATTAAATAAATAAAATTTGTAAATTTATTATTTGTAATAAATATATACTTATTTACAAGAAAATTATTATAAATTATTACATATTATGATGTGCAAGAGATAATTAAAATAAATATTTCATATGATATATAAGAAATAATAATAAAATATTATTCTTGAATGTTTTTCAAAATAAAATAAAATAAATAGAACACAATCAATGGTTAATTGTTATTTCAAGACCGTTTTATTTCTTGTGTAATTATTGATATTAATATAAATTAGCAACAATTAAATAATTGAAAATATGTGCCTACATTTGATTTTATGAAAAATTTACTCTAAAAATAATTTATTAGCATTTCATTTAATATTATAAAAACTGAATGAAATAATGAATATAAGTACAGAATATTGATATTGTTAATTAAATAAAGGAAAACAAATGTTAATAACTAATACATAATATGAAAAACTATTTTTTAAAATAATTTGTAACATATATTGAAAGAGATTTGTAAATAAAAATACTATTAATTTTTTTATCTTAAAATATTATTAAATATAGACACATATGTTTAAAAAATAACTTTTTAAGGATATGTGATAAGGGTGGATAAACTGAGTACAATAAGACAATGTAAAAAATATGCTTATTATAATTAATAATGCTTAATAATGCGCACTAATGTTGATATTTTACAAGGAGATACATATATAGGTACATCTGAAGCAATGCATTGTTTTCTGATTAAATTTTGCATTGTTCTTATATAAATAATTACTGTACCTACTTACTACTAATATATATATAATAACAATATTATATCATATATATATATATATATATATATATATATATATATATATATATATATATAATTAATTAACT